TAAGGGGGGATGTTTTGTGGTTATAAACCACATAATAACTCTTTTCCGTTTTTCTAGATATCGCTGACAACCACAGAATTGTCAAAGTTGTAAAATACCAGCACATTAAGAACACGTCCGATGTCGATAACTGACATGTCAACATATGACAATATGCCAAAATATTCATTTGAGCATAACTAATAATTCATAATGTTTTTTGTTCGCCGGTCTTGCATTTCATCTTTCTTTGTGTTGTCAAGTGTTCTTATGTGATTTCAAAGTTGTTTTGTGTGTTTCAAGAAGAACTTCAAACTTTATAGATTGGAAGATCTATTTTTATCTTTGTTGATTAGATAAATGACAGGTTCATTTAAACATCAATCAGAACTTTGAATAAATATGTTAAGGATACCCTTAACTATCGATAAAGAAACTGTCTTTTTTATCTAATTAGCAAACATTAATGCCCCAAAGTCTAGAATAAACGAATTTGAACAGACCGACAGTAATGCGAACAGGGCGCCATCTATCATAAAAAGTCCTATGTAAAGTAGGTGTCTGTAGAATCGATGCAAAACCAGTAAATAGTGATTTTCCGATATGGTAGATGGCGCTGGCTTGGCTCAATTTTGTTGACAACAAAGGGTGAGTTCGGCTTGCTCACTCCGTGCACTCGGAGTGACTCCATTCGCACTCCAGCCGTTCGGGTTAAGGTTCGGGTATTGCTTTTTACGGTATCAGGGGTGACTCCATTAGCTCTGTTCACTCCACTCCAACTCCGCTCTGAATAGCCGAACTCACCCAAAATTTACACTGAGGGCGCGTTTGGGTTGACGCTCGGCGGAGCGAGCAAAGCGATTAGGGAGTAACGTGACGTCACAGGGAGTACACCGCGTCAAGCCAAATAAACTCGTGCAAAAGTGCTGGGTTGAGCGATCAGCTGATTATTGTTTATTTTTTTTTAGGATATATTTTTTGGAGTCTGAACGCGCATTCCGCATTTGCACCAGAGTTTTCTCGTTTGTTTTTTATTTTTGTCGATAATTTTCAAACAGCCACATTTTCTTTTGTGTTCTGCTAAAAATGTCGTGCTACATAAACAATAAAACGGACCTAAACACTCTGAGGTTGCCAAGTTCCCTTGGAAAAATATGTTTACTAAATACCAGTGATGAGGAGTACCGAGAAAATTTAATTAAAAGTAAACAATTATGCAGAATTTACTAGCTATTTGATTGTTAACATTTATACAAAATAGTTGAAACTATCCAGCTAACAAATATAATATATTGAAATTCAGGATTGTTTATTTATCTTATCATGGAAAATAGGTTAGGTTATACAGAAAGATTGAACACATTTGATCTGCGCATGCACGCTCCAGCTGCCCACTCCACAACCTCGGGGTTTATCAAGCTCGCTCTGAGCGCTCAAAATATGTCAAACCAAACACAATTAAGCGTTGTCGGAGCTTCAAAAATAACAGAAAAGAGACAAAAGTGCAAGCTCAGAGCTCTGAGTGCACCGAGCGTGAACCCAAACGCGCCCTGAGATTCCATTCTCGACAGTTTATATAGTATTTATCTCTGCAGCCTACGTCAAGGCAAGAAATGACATTCTGTCTACGTCACAACCATATATTTATTATACACGTATATCGCGGGTTGGTTTGAGTTGGTTTGTCTCAAGTGAACTCGTTTTTCCAATGCGCATGCGTCAATTTGAAGTTATTCCTCCAATAAGATTTCATTTTAAACAGCTGATATTGCAGGGTTGCCAATAACGTTATTTTCATCTTCGAGTTATTTAAACATTCACAAGAAACATGACGAATTTTGTAGTTTGGTGCGTGTAACACATACTCGATTTCGACAAATAATAGTATATTACATACCGAGGTGGAAAGTGTTTCATTACTGTCGAGAGATTAGTTAGTTAACTGAGACGCGAAGCGTCGAAGTTAACTATAATCTCGAGACAGGAATGAAACTTCCTACCGAGGTTTGTATACTATTTTATTTACAACAATTACAACCCTCATAATTTCGACTAAATACAAAAAAAAAGTTTTGACTCATTTAAAAAAACGTTTGACATGCAGGACTCGTGTTAAACATTTAAGGAAATGAGAACTTACTTTCCACCCGAATGGAAAGTGAGCACTTTCCACCCGGGTGGAAAGTAAAATTCAAAAAAGTGTCACTTTCAAACTTTTGAAAAGTCAGAAATGTCAACATTACGTATGTAGTTGTAAATAAACCAATATATTCATTTTTATTAGTGTTTTGGAATCCAAATACAATCGACCAAATTATAACCTCAAAAAATGATCCTAATTTATTGTGCTTTTTAGCTTGACATGACAACACGGCATGAAAAGCTTGATGCAAAATGGCAACCGCCGGCCAATAAGAATCTAGAGTTTAAAGCCAAGCGCAGTTTATAACCTCGGTCTCCTTCGTTTGACAAAGATAGACTTATGCGAGATCATATAACTTTATCTCTCTTTGTTTGTTTCAAAAACCGTACATTGGGTAAATGGGGAAGGTGCGATATACGTTAGTATAATAGGTATATGGTCACAACTGGTATTTTGGCGTGGAGGGGATTTGTTACACACAGGCCTTATGAGGATAAGCTATCCTGTAGTAGTAGTGAGTGTATATCATCCTTGGATAGAATCAGCGTTTCTAAAACGGCCTCTTGACAATTTTGACACGTGACGTGACATACATAATTATTTTCTCAAAAGTTGGGCGCTTGATTGGCGCTTGCTTTTTGCTATGCCACGAGTTATGACATGGCTCTCGTGCTGGGACGAATTTAATTTAATTTTTTCGGTTAATAAATACCAAAAATGCCCACAAAATGCTCACATCTTGTCAATGCTTCCATTTTTACCCCCAAATCTATCAAATGTTCACACATTGGTAACACTGCTAAGAAGTTACAACAAAAAATAGTAAAAATACTAGATTCTCTAAATTGCTGCGGCAAAAGCCGAGAACAAAAGAATCTTCAATGAATGCAGCAAGCTCTGCGCGCCGTATTTATATTAAAATACGGCTGATGCTTGCATTTGTGTGAGCGAAACCTTGATATGACGGTACTTTTCCAGGCAGTATCCCTGACTCAGCATCTTTATAATATCGTGAGCTTTTACAGTGGTGTAGGCTTATGTTTAACATTGAAACGGGGAATTATTTGTATAATAATCACATAAGTTCTTTTCACGTGGCTCCGGTTTAATTCACCGGGTTACGAAACGGTTAGAGAAATGAAATACCGTTTTCTAACCCGGTTACAAAGTGACGTGATGGATATCTACCACTCGAATTTAAGCGGTATGTTGCGGTTTGTTAAACCGGAGCCACGTGAAAAGGGTTATAGGGTTTTATAAATATAACTCACAGTTGATGCATTTATTTATTTTTTCTCTACCTTTTTTTATATTTATGGACATATTTAACCTCACATAGATTAAACATACATTGTACTGAATGACCCATATAGCCTCGTGCTCTAGGTCTTAAACAACCCATAAGCTTATATTATGAATGTCACAACATATGATTTACCTGGGAATAAAAAATAAAAAAATCGGAAATAAATCTCACACACACTCACTCGCTAATAAATTCGCACTGTAATTTGTAAGTTGTATTCGGAATTTCTGAACCTTTATGCAAGACGATTGCTACATTATCATGTCCTTTTTTTCTGTTCAAATTTATAAAAATATAGCTATTTTTTATGATTCTTTCCTGCCAATGGCCTTAATATTGAATTCAAAGTATTCATAAAGTACACGCACACAGCATGAGGCAGGAAAGCCAATTTCCGCAATGCAGGTTACGCGTTGTTTTATTAAACCTTTTTTTTATGTTTTCTCGTAAAGTACCTACTCGTGAAAAGGATCCGGAGAAATTTTAATCGCGAGAAACAATAAATTCATATCAATTATAGAATAATTAAGGTTCAAATCGTAATAAAGATAATAACAATTAAAATGTTCATTCTATATATCTTGGGAATGCCGGAAGGACTTTCTGTAGATCGTACAATTATTAGAGGATTTTAAAGGTAGAAGAAAGGTTAAACTTCTTGGGGTAATTGATAATCGATGATAGGCTCGATTGAACTGGCACGCATCAAATATACATACGTACCTACAGAATCAAGATATAATGCTTTAAATTAATTATATAAATTTATCAACTTGTAATCAAATAAGTATGTTGAAAGTTTTGGAATAATTAGTACAAGTACAATACATGTCAAAAATTATGTTATTCCTCATTCCAATTTCTGACAGCCTTGTGCATCGAGCATCCAACATAAAGCTTCGATTTCTATAGATAGCCAGAGGCTCAGAGAGATTGGATTTACCGATAGGTACTTGATGGAAATCCATTAGGTATATGCAGAACAAAAAAGTTTTTGGATTTCTACAATTTTATTTAAATGAAATGAAACCGTAACATTTTTCAGCACACAGTGCCTTCTTCAAACGGAATAACTAAACTAATATAATCACAGTTTATAATAATATGCTAAGCTAGAGTATAATCATAATTATAAAATAAAGCAGATAACAACTAAAAAAATATTAGAAAGTAGGTACCTTGGTACCTACTTAAAGATATAAAAGCAATAACATATTGGTTTCTTAGTGAATGCAGAATGTGTCAAGTTCGGAGTTCTAGCTAGCTTTATAAAAAATAACACTCACATTACGCATTACATCTAAATCCAAAAAATTAAATTATTTTGAAATAAAATAAAAGGAAAAGGTTTGTTATATTATTGAATGATTTCCTTCACTGTTAAATTTACATATATGATATAATTTTCCCCGAGTAGTTTTTACCCCATTGTTATTTGAAACATGTTACGAATGTTACGGTTTCATTTGAATAAAATTGTGGAAATCTAGAAACTTTTAGTTTCCTTTCAAAATCTAAAAATAGTTTTTTTGAAACCTCAAACCAAGCATAATAATGTTTTATGTGTTCCAGAAATCCAAGTAATAATTAGACGTAAGTATAACATAAGCGACGAAGACTTTCGGATAATGGAGACAGTCGTCATGAAATCGGAACCCCATAGAGCCGGACAGCAATGGAAGTTTACTGGAGCATTTTACTATGCCACCACTGTGCTAACTACAATTGGGTAAGAACAAAAACTTACCTACATATATTACACCTACATTATTATATGTATTTTTTTTAGCATAAATCTGTTATGTTTCAAAAAAAGCCAACGTATAATGTTCTTTAGAGCTAAGCTTGGATAATATTTTTCCTATATAGTTTTAATCAAACCCAAATTTACTCTAGATGGTATGCATGTTTAAACTTGCGGAAAATGGCCCTAATGATATCTTGGAAATCTGTGACTATATTGGCTCCAATTTAAATCGTTTTTTTATTTGTTAAACGCACACTATAGTAATATAATAATACTTTGGAAAGATTATAATTGGAAAAAAAAGAAAAAAAATCGCAGTGAACACTTTTTTTTTTTTAAATAATGAAGTAAGCTGGCCCAATATAACGTGTGTGCCAAATCACACCTAAAGCGCCCAGCTCGAGGTTACATATACCAACTGTATTTGGCTTTGAACAAGTCAAAATATTTTCCGACCATGAACAAGTCTAATCACAATATTCTTTGACCACGAACATATTTATTGTGTGATGTTGAAAATGGCCTACGCAATTCTAGGCCACATCAAGGTCAAAACATTCGGTGACCTTGAACAACGCAAGATTATACACCAACTCAAGGTCATAGTCCAACTCAAGACCAGACAAAGTCAAGGTCACATACCAACTCAAGGTAGGCCACATTCAAGGGTATAATCCGCGGCCATAATTCCAATGACTAATTCGAAGTTACATTTCCAAGATCAAGGCGGCGAAGCCGAAAGCAAGGTCATGGTGGCGAAGCCACAGTCACGGTGAAAGGATGGAGTGTTTCAAGGTTAAGGGGGCGGAGCCAAAGTCAAGTACGAAGGGTGGGGGGTGGACCTGGGTTCTCCAAGTTCGAAGGGTAGGGGGTGGTTTCAGATCCTGTAATGCCCACTACTGCTATATCTAATGATAATAATAACTGAAAAATTGTGAGTTGAGATCGGCACATTTCTCTAATTAATTATTGGTTATTTTGGAGTCGTATTTCTGGTTAATACAAGTTTTGGTCAGTCATCGTTGATAGACTCTATCTAGACAACAACAAAAAATAAAGATTCTTTGAACAAGGTTACCTGGCTGAGATGGTTTCCGGGTCCACTTAAACTTTACAAACAGTAACAACTTTTTATTGAACAAACTGACTTTGTAAAAAGATTCACCTATGAATGAATGAATGAATGAATGGAAGAGTGGGCGGCCGCGACCGTAGTGCACATAGGTCTCCTGTGGTGGACCCGTCGTGCCCCACTGAGTTCTACCAGAGGCCTATGTCCTTAGAAAAGCCAATCAGACACCCTGGCTTCATCCTTTTGACGTCATCGGGCAAGCAATACAACTTGCCCAGGTGTTTGATCCTCGCGCGCGTGACTGCAGGGCACTCACTGATGACGTGGTCTGCCGTCTCCTCCTCCTCCATGCACCAGCAGCATTCCGGGTCGTCCGTAATGCCCATGCTGTGGAGATGGCGTCTTAATATTATCCGGTTAGGAGACCAGTCACTAGCCGTATCTCGCGTCTGTTCAGGCGCAGTAGTTGTTTGGTGAAACAGGCAGAGGGCCCATCAATATGAGCCTTAGCCTGCCTCATGCCAGATGCCTCCATCCATCTCCCAAGGAATCGCTCCGCGAGGAGACCCTTGAGGGACAGGAAAGCCTCACATTTGGCTATGCCCAGCGTGGGCTCAGGGCCCACAGGTGACATCGACGATCCCTGTCTGGTAAGTAAATCAGCTTCGTCGTTGCCCGCGACGCCCGAGTGACCGGGCACCCAGACGAGGCGGACCCGGCAGCCGGCACTCACCAGTCTTCCCAGGACTTTTTTGCACTCCATTACAAGCTTAGAGCGCACAGTGTCAGCCATAATGGCTTTGATAGCGGCTCTGCTGTCGGAGCAGATTGAAACGACTGCATTCCTGTGGCGCCGGTTTAAAATTTCCCGACCACACTCCATTACAGCGAAAATTTCAGCCTGGAAGACAGTAGCGTGCTCCCCTAAAGAAAAGGATTTACTAATTTTACGTACGTGAGAAGAGGTTTAACTATAGAGTTATGAATCCAGTAAAGGATCTTCGGTGAGAGACCCCAGGTGCAACCAAAGGCCCGTTTACATGCCCAAAGGGCACAGGTAGCCTTTTTCATCCTGTTCTCTGCGTGTTCATACCAGGACAGTTTAAAATCCAGCATCACGCCTAGATACTTAACCACCCTGGAGTACTTAAGAGTCACACCTCCCAGAGAAATGTTGGGCGGTGTGTCGAAGTTGCGTCTCCTGGAGAAGAGTAGGAGCTCCGCCTTATTAGGGTTTATCCTGAGTCCTTCCGCAAGGCACCACCGGCTCACTATGCGCAGAGCCCTTGCCATAAAGCCCTGCAGTGAGACGGCGTCCTTACCCGGACAAAGGATAACCAGGTCGTCGGCATAGGCCTGAGTATACAAGCCTGCCTTGTTTAGATTAGTAATCAGGTCGTCAACCACCAGGCACCACAGAATCGGGGATAGAACTCTGCCCTGCGGACAGCCTCTGGCGGCCATCGCTCTAACCACCGCATTATTAAGCTCTGCGGACACTCGGCGTTGCGAGAGCATGGCCTTTATCCATCTCACCAGACATGGCTCTAAGCCACGCCCTTCGAGCGCACCGCAGATGATGTTTAAAGCCAAATGCCCCTTCAATGTCAAGGAATGCCGCCAGACTGGCCCTTCCACACACCAGATTTCCTTCTACCTTCCTGACCAGGTGGATTTGCCAATCTGATAGGCGTATTGTTGGGTGTGTAAAGGTCTGGAAACCAGTATGCCTTCCTTCACATACCGGTCCAGTAGCCTCTCCAGAGTCTTGAGCAGGAAACTATTGAGGCTAATGGGTCGATACGATTTTGGGTCGGAGTAGTCGCTCCGTCCGGTTTTGGGAATGAAGACGACCTTCACCTCTTTCCACTGCTCTGGAATGTATCCATGAGCGAGGCAAGATCTGAAGATCTTTACCAGGTGGACAGTGATGATATCCGACGCGTTTTGCAGCTGGCAAGGGTGGATTCCATCCTTACCAGGAGGGAAAGAACTTAATCGCCCATATCACCCTCTCATAACTTACTACTTTTTTGGCGGTGTCGTGCCCAGCGCTAATCGGGGCCCGAAGGCCGGCCAAGATAGCGTTGTTTGAACTGGAGCCCGGGAAGTGCGTGCGGAGCATGACCTCCAGGGTTTCCTGTTCGTTGGTCGTGAAGCCACCGTCCGGAAGAGACAGTGACCCTATTCTACTACCGGTTCCCTTTGACAGAGCCTTGCAGAGGCGAGCTGCTGGGGATATTTTTTCAACGTCCCCGCAGTATTGCCTCCAGCTCTGTCTTTTGGAATCCCTGAGCGCCTTTTTGTACTGCCTTTCGGCTGCGTGAAACGCTTCCCAGTCGGCGACGAGTTTGGAGCGTTCAGCCCTTCTCAAGAGCCGGCGCGTGATGTTCCGGTGGAATTCCGTAGTGTGGTTCCACCAGACATTTTTTGCATTTTGGGGTTTCCGTCTTAGTGGACAGCTACCCTCGTATGCCCGGAGAGTTGCGCTGGACAGTTTGTTTATCCCAATCTCAATGTCGGCTGGAAGGTTATACCTTGCCGGCATATCCGAGAGCCCACCTGTGACCTCCTCCCGAAAAAGGTCCCATTTGGTGTGCCTCGGATTTCTAAAGACTGGGTTGTCGCAGCTGGTGTCTTTATTCAGCTCGAAGAGAATATGCCTGTGGTCCGAGATTCACCTATATTACTCATCGAAACGTACTCAACAAATCTTGTATTTTAAACTGACTTCTAAATGACTACATCGCCTCATTCAAAGTTTAGCTTTCTCGAAGACAATAAAATTCCCAGAATAGACACACGCGCTCTTTAAACAATTGGAATTCTTAGAATTCAATCTCGTAACAATATTTTGAAATATGTGCATACAAATATGTTTGTTTTTTCTCAGCTATGGCCATTCGACTCCAAGCACAGTGGCGGGAAAGCTGTTTACCATGATGTACGCCATGATCGGAATCCCACTAGGCCTCGTCATGTTCCAAAGTATAGGAGAACGAGTCAACAAGCTCAGTAGGTAAGCAAAGTATACCTACATCTATTAATTGGTTGATTTCAAATTTCAACAAGATTCCTGAACATAAGATCATTATTGTAATAATGATACCTCTTTATCTATTATTCTAGTGTAATTATAAGATCGGTACGATCGTCTCTGAATTGCAAACAAACGACAGCTTCCGAATTAGACCTGATCTGCGTAGTAACCTTCTTATCGTCGCTTACCATCCTTGGGGGCGCTGCAGCTTTCTCACGCTACGAAGGCTGGAGCTACTTTGATTCTGTCTATTACTGTTTTATAACATTAACCACAATTGGTTTTGGAGATATGGTAAGTTCATATTAAGTTGAATCATCTCACATGAACATCAGACATTAATATAGTTTAGTTTATTTATTATCGTTGTTATAGGTGGCCCTACAAAAAGACAACGCACTCAGTCAAAAGCCAGAATATGTAATGTTTTCGTTGATTTTCATACTGTTTGGTTTGGCAATCGTAGCTGCGTCCCTAAATTTGCTCGTTCTACGATTCGTCACCATGAACACCGAAGATGAGAGAAGAGACGAAGCCCAAGCTATTCAGGTAATGTTTGGATATATTGCTGATATTAAGTGACTGTCATTTATCGTTGGATTATGAATTCCAGAATGCACGAATTTCGTTGAATGTTTCAGATCTGCGTGCAGAAAGATTTATTAGAGTTATAATTTTTTGCTTGGAGTAAGTCTAACAAGGATCTAATATAATGTCCTATATTTTTTGTTCAACATATTGTTATTAGATTCCTAAATACAAAATGTTTTTATGGGAATATTGGATTAGATAGATAGATAACTAACTTATTCTAACAAAATTAATCTTATTTACATTAAAATTACGGAGGTAGCATGTAGCTACTGTTAAACTAAAAAGGTTTTATGCGGATATAACAACTTCCCCTTTTTCTCAATAGTTAAAGCTTTACAGCATTTTTTCAACAGTTTGGTCGTAACTTTGGGTACGCATCACGATATCAAATACCCTTTTCTGGCTCTTCTCCTGATGATTGGAAAGAAATTGGTGTTCTGTTTAAGCTGAGCTTTCAAAGAAGCATTTCTGTAGATGTTATGAATAAGCTGTCTGTATGGAGATTTGTTTATTGCTATTTCTTTGGCTCATAGAGCTGTTGTAATGACGCGGAAATAAACCACCAAGAAAACAATTAAAGGTTCTGATTATTCTAAACAACTAAAAACCCAGGATCCAACTACCGAAAATTAATTAAGAATGACAAGGACTTACCAAACAACCATCCCAGGAGAGATCATCACTTAGACAGCACAACCAGAAACTTCAATTAGAAATTATCTGAACATCGATATCCAGAAATTATTGAAAGCCGATACCCTATATTGACTAATACATTGGAATGTGAATAAAGCAAAAGTTCATGGACCTTTTTTTTAAGTGCATTCAACAATTAACATTCCAAAGGAAACGAAAAATTTCTGAAAGGATCAATAAATCATGCACGAGCCTATATGATGATACTTATTTAACAAACCACTTAGCGACGCCCTTGATAATTAATTAAAAGGGGACCAAATACACTAATTGATCGGATGATTCAACCACGAAAAATCGAGGTCAGAAACAATAAAGAAATTCAAGACAATGGAGGGACCAATGATATAAAAAGGCAACTTTGGCAGGAGAAAAATAAGTGTTCGAGAAAGAGCGAGTAAACTGGCAGAACTACGGCGTGAAGGACCAGTGTCGGTTGAATAATCAAGAAACAAGTAGTAATCGAGAAACAAGAGACCTGTGTCCAGAAAGTCAGAACTACGGCGTGAAAGAGTTGTCGAATTAAACGAGAGAAGAAGCACGACGTGAAATAACAGCGCGAAAATATTCGAGTTTTTTATTAATTGTTCATAATTAAAGTGAATTCCTTCGACCAATAAGATTTCCATGTAATTAGGTGTGGCCAGCAGTAAATATATTATTGTTAAATGTAAGTAGAGTTTTTTTATGTTCAGCCAGGAATTGTGAAGGCAAGAGTGTGAATCGAGTGAAACTGTAAATAAAAATTTTACTTGGAATCATATAAATTTTCCTTAACAGTTAATTGATGCTTATTAGAAATTTAACAATTTTATTGTAAGATTATTTATTACTGACGCCTGTTATTTAATAACAAGCATTATTTATTTTAATAAAATAAACTTTATTTTAATTAACCACAATATTTCTGTTTTACTCTCCACCCGCAAATAGGACCCATTTTAAACTGTGTCTCCACTCAGAAACTAAAGTCACCGCTCGTCAATTTAACATCTTGCCAAGTTTCTGAATTTCAGGTCTCACACTATAAATTTTATGGTTGATAGAGATAGTCCGAAGTATTAAAACCATGGCGGAACCTAGACGAGCCTGTTCAACTAGTTGGTACTGTTGGTATCTGTTCATTTTAAGTGATACGTCCTAAGTGATAATTTTCATGAACACCTTGTATATTTGAAATAATAATGAGTAGTTTTATATGTTACTTCTTACCCATTTCTATAGTATACTTGCACCCTTTGGACATAGGTTACGCAGTCTCCTTATGGATTCGTATCCTAAGTCGCAATTTAGTATTAAAGTAATTATTTTTTCTGACCCATAACTCATTTCATGGATAGCTCTTGCATTGGGTTCTTATTGTAATTGGGCTTAACTCAGTTGCTCCACATAACTAAGAATTAACGCATGCTTCTTTCATAAATATGGTGCAAATACTTGGGTAGCAAATTCCTGAAGTATAATTCTAAATTTTACACTTTTTAAAAATCGTTCTATTTCTACATTTCAGGCTCTAGCTGGGGCAGTAAGATTAGATGGTGACGTAATAACAGCAAACGGATCCATTCTTAGCGGTCAATTAGGTCATCATTGTACTGAAACCACTTCGCTTGATATCGAAAGTATTTCTGTGTGTTCCTGTCCGTGTGGCTGTATCCCAACAAACAGTAGACATAGGTAAGGCAAAATTTTCTACCCAATACATCGAAAAATATTTTCCTGGTCTGACACCACTCTGATATTTGATTTGTCATTGATCGAAGTCTTGTATACAGACAACGAAATTGCAAATCAAATTGAAGAGACAGTGTTGACTTTTGAGTTTCAGTTGTTTTCCTTTCAGATTCACGGTTCGAAGATCGCCTACCCAAATCCGACACCTTTTGCCAGTGTTGCCGATGCACGAGCTGCATCTACCCCAGGGTCCAGTTATGCCCCCTCCGGCGATCTATACGAATCACAGGGCTTCGATTTGAGGTTCTCACCACTAGAGCCATTAATATGATAGGTAGGTTGATTTATTATATTATTATAGGTATTTTCTAATAATAATGCAAATTATGTTGCATAGGCGCCAGAAGATTTATCATGACTCATCCGCAAAGTTTGAGCCTTCAATTGAAGGTCTATTGCCAACAAGAATCATAAATGAATCAGAGCCAATTCGATTTCTTCAAAAACTGTTTTTCAATAATTCGACTGGCGCTGGCTGATTTCTGTTTGCTGGTTGAAACAATGTATTAGAATATGCAAATTGTCGCGGGTCCAAGTGCCATTTGAAGGATGCAGCCTTAAATTTAAAAAAATTAAATAAAGCATGTGAGGGATATAAGGGGCAAAATGGATTTGTAACTCAGTTAGGAAATTTTCAATTTTTAAAATTATTATAAGTTAAGGTTTTTTGTCATTGAATAAGGAATTTAATGACAATGTAAATATTTTTCACAATATATCTCTTTTTCTTTTCAGGTTTGTTTTTCTTTGGATATTTCCACCTATATAGGTACCTACACCACTTCCCGTGATATAAGGAGGAAAACAAAATTTTGCAAAAAAAGTTTTTATTGTTTCGGGCTTATTTGGAAAGATATTTCAAAATCAACTTCACTTTACATTTAGGCTTTTTTTCATTTTTTCTTTTGTGTTTCTCTTACTTCCACGAGAGTACGGAGTCGAGAATGACCCCTATAGATACTTCACTTCTTTTGATAGTTCGAGGGTTTGTTCCCCAGCCGTCGGCATTTTTACTTGTAACACAAGGGGTTTTCTATTTCCTTGAGAACAGGAATAACTTAGTTGTTTGAGGGTTAACTCCCAATCCCTTCTGTCCTGCTCATCTAAAGAGTTTCCTTAATGTTGATTCCATGATTTCACTGATGGTTGATATGCTGAAGCCCCTGCGTCGCCAGCATACGCAATCAATTTTATCCTCCTTTCTCTAAAGCTTTTAGAATCATATCGATTACCAACAGCCACAAGAGTGAAAATATCACTCCTCTTAGTGCAATCCTTCTGGTTGTTCTATTCCTTATGGTACCTATAGGCACCAATTTCTGAATTAATGATTCTGCTATTCAGCATTTGTAATATCCATTGTATGATGACTGGTTCTATCTTCATCAGGTGCTCCATGAATTTTTCAATAGACGTGATTCAATCATTACATTATTGAATGTACCCTCTATGTCCAGAAATGCACCCAGTCAACCCCAGTGTGTATTTCTTATTTTCAAGAGATCTTTCAATGGTTCCAACCCATTCATGAGTTGAAAACTGACTTTCCTTTTCGGTATACAAGTTGGTCTGGACATTGCGTGTTTATTTCCGGTAATTCTCTAATGTGTAGATCATAATAACAAGAATTATATGATGAACCACCTAATTGGTCTATAGTCTTTTGGGGTTGAAATGCCTGATTTACCCGTTACAGGTCAAAAAAACGACCTCCACTTCCCTCCATTTTGCTGGTGTATGCCCTAGTGTTAAGCAATCAGCAAATGTTTTTAGCATTGGTTCTAAAATGCTTTCACATTCCACCTTTTTGCACCTAATTATTCTTTTCATCACCTCTGCGTCAGTTTTTGATTCAAAGGTCTTAATCTCGATTTTATATCGGTTGAAACTCCTTTTGTATTCATTCAAGTCTTCATCTTCATTTCCTCTTTTTGCTTGGTTGGAAAGTTTTCTTGTTTTGATCCTAAATAAGTTTTCTCTGTTCTGCTGTCCACCAGGGTGAAGGGACAAGATTTATGGAAAGCATTTCGTAGTTTTTTCTCTAGGACTTTGATCAGGCCCGTCTTTGATAATTTCCTCTATGTCCTTGTTCTTTGATTTGACTCGTTGGTTGAAATTAACATATTCTTTTTCCTCTTTCATGAAAAGCGAGCTTTTCTCCAGTCTGTCTTACAAGGATTTCTGATTTACCTTTAGGGAGTTCACGATTGATTTCGACGCGTATCCTCCTGTTATCTGAGAAAGTTTTTGTGGCAATATCAAATCTATTACCTCTTTCCTGACCCTATATTCGTGAATATTTCTACACGTTTCCTAAAATTGACTCACCCCTGCCCCCCTGGCCCTCTCGCTGAGTTCTTGCTGCCCTATTGTGTGTGATGACAGCAGCTTTCCTTTCTCTTTGGCGTAATTAACTAGAGTTTAGAAGGCGGTCAGTCGTGGTTTAGACTCTTCGTAATGCATGAAAGCCAACGTATCTGTTCCTTTCAAATCGGGTTCGACTGACACCGGTGCGAGTGGCTCTAGCTCTAGTGTTCTAAACTCTTGAAAGGAATATAACCAAGGTTCCTATACAACTACAGTGTGAAAGTGTGAATTATTTTTGATGGAACGAAACTACCAAGGATACCAAAAAATATCTCCGGTTGCCTGCTGGGTTGGGTAATGGGGTAGTATACAAGTGATTTTTAACTACTACGTAGTGATATACTCGACGTATCGTACTATTTAGTGTAATCAGTTGCTTTGTAAAAACCGCACTAGCCTGGATTTTTTTTTTAAATTTCCTCTTAGCTCCGCCCCTACGTAAAAATAAAAGTTCGTGACGTAGGTAGTTAGTTTTTCCAATCTGGCAAAACATCACGGTTTTGAGAACGCACAATTTGCACTGACATTGACCGTCAAGAACGAAACGCACTATGTCACACGATTCACACGACACCACACGTCGTTGAAAAGTTGAAGCCAGCTGTCATTTTGAGGCATTTTGAAGAGCGTTGCCAGATGGTCAGCGGCTTGAATACTATTGGTCGCCAGTGTGGCGCTAAATTCAAATTACAGTTTGTGTTTCTCTGACTAATTCTATAGACACTATACTAGAAAATAATTTAGTATTCCACTATACCATCACCATTTCGCCTCTAGAATAATGTCGAGCAGTTTTTTTACTGTTTTTTATACATAAAGTCTGTTTTTTTTTTAAAGATAATTCCCCAAGTCAAAAATTTAGTAACTATGTTGGCAACACAAGCCTTTTCTACATAAAAAAAAATTGAAAGATTGACAATTTTACATTGTATTGCCAACTTAATGTCATTTTGACTTTTATCTTTAAAAAAAAAAACAGATTTTAGTATACTACCCCATTGCATCTGAGGGCAAAATGAGCCAAAAATGGCAGAACAGATGTCACCAGATGTCATGTGATGTCAAGGAAAGCTCTACAGTCTTTTTTCTCAAGATAGATTTTGACAATGACAACTTTGAAACATAAACAATGCCGCCTATTGGTCGCAAGATGCCGTGTACCTGCATTCGACAAAGGTTATCGTTTTTCAACCATGTAAAAGGATACCTCACATGCAAGGACACGGTATTTTGCGACCAATCAGAGCCACGCGGTATTGTTTATGTTTAAAAGTTGACAATGTCAAAATCTATCTTGGGAAAAAATAGAGTGTAGACATTTCTAGACACACATGACCGGGCCGTGTCAGGAGCGAACATCGGACATGTATCGAACGACATATGTATACTGTATATGGTCTTCAGGGATAATTATTATTTAAAAATATGTTTTAATACAATGTAATATGCTTTTTTATATCAATCATTGTTGAAACATAACTTGAATGCCTTTTTGAATAGGAATGTTGTTCTTTTTTTAATTTAAATTGGTTAAAATTATAAAATAACCAGGAATATATTGCTCGAAAAATGGCACATCGGCAACGTTGCATCTACGAGCAGTCAAAGATGATCTTATGTGACTTATGTCATCCAGGGATGTTCCAAACTGCACAATGGGCTCTTTCACTAAAATTTAAATACGTAATTTAAGTATAAAATCTCATAGGAGGGACTATTTTAGGCATATATACCAAAAAAAAAATGTTCTACAAGGTTCAATAAGTTTTTCATAGGCAATCAAAAGTGCCTAAATTCAAACTATTTTAAAACGCGCCGATTTGCCGACGTCACATAAATATTCTTCATTTCGCTTATGTCGTTGCAAGGAGGAAGGGCTCGGCTGTGTTTGCGCTCTGTAAAGATACGTAAAGGTTCGAATGCGCTGTTGTCGGTTGTGACTAAATGTAGTGCAGCGTAAAATAAATAAATAAAACTAAACATAAAAAATTGCATTAAATTGTGTTTAAGCATAATTTAAAAAAAAAAATGTTATAAAATCTTGAATCTATAACTAATTAATTTAACTACTTTTCATGAGATTTTGCCAACATTTCAGAATTAAATCTATTACAAATTTTCAATGTTGACAATTAGTGGCAACACGGTCAAATTGCGAGCTGCGACGTCATAGAAATAAATTCTGGGTTTTTATTTGGAGGTATTTCTTTGTTTTCTGTTTTCTCAAGAAGGACTTTGAATTTTTCAAAAGTAAAAATACAGAAAATTCTGTTTTTAGTTGCTTTATCCAAATATGCCAATTTCAAAAATTAGTGAAAGAGCCCATTGTGCATATTGATGCACACTTTCAATTCATATGCGCAGTATGCACCCCAATCTCTAGATATGCACATTTTGATTTCTAGAATAAATCTGCCACAATTTTTTAGTCAATAAATAGAACTCAAAATATTCTAAATTTGGGGTTTCATTTCAGTAAATTTGTACTGAGTGTAAGTACACTGTACTCTATACACACTCCCATACTCTACACTCAGTACACTCTACTAACCTGTACGCCAACGCCACCAAGGATGATACACACTCTACTACTACAGGATGGCCTATCTTCATAAGGCCTGTGTCGAACAAATCCCCCCTCCCCCCGCCTCGCGAAATCCCCAGTTGTGACGGAGGCAGCATGTTATTTCTCGCCTTGATGTAGGCTGTTTAAACAGCTGACGACGTAGTTATGAAGTCGGAAATGGTAACACACCAATATAGCGGCGATTACCAAAAACGAGGCCCATAAGCAATCCTGTAGGTGTGTATCATCCTTGGTACGCCACTGCCCAGGCGGCCCCAGAACTGGCAACGTTGTGAATAAACATACATATTGGCAACATTGAAAAGCAAAACAAGGGGGATGCACATTTTGTGTCAGATATGCCCACTTTTTATACTAGGGATGTCCAATGGAAAAAAACCTTCGATGTTTTTCCGATGTAATGCATCGTTAGTTGGTATCGATTTTTTTCGATACATCGGGGGAAAACACCGATGTTTGCGATGCATCGAATTGATCCAATAAAAAATAAAATCAAAAAAGAAAAGTTTATTTTCCATCTAGGAAATTTTTATACAAAACAGTAAAATCATGAAACAAGATATAAAATATTAAAATATTATAAAGACATGATTATACCTCCCAATATTTCTTGTCTAAACTCTGTAAAAATAAAATTTTTCGTTTTTTTGTCGATTTAGGGTTTGTGCATCAGCTTTCGAAAATAATCGTTAGATGGTACCGAAGTATATAGTCAGCTGGGTGCGTGGTGCGTTTGAGAACCTGGTATCGTAGAAAAATCGCACAACTGCAACTTCCAGT